AGATTCTTGTGCACCTCATGGGTTTGAAAGCGCAAGGGATCTCCCTTTTGAGAAATTTCAAAGACAAATGAAGAGTGACAGAATGTTTCCCCAGGGAGACAAGCGCCCGTATCGTTTGAGGCGCCAGGGGAAATATTTGGTACCTGAAGGGTTACTAATTTATCCTTTCTGTAAACATGTACCTGAAGGGCTTGAGCGCGGGAGGGATCTCCTCGCCGTGCACGAAGAGAAAGGCGTTCATGCCCGTCATGGCCGGCTTGAGCGCCTCGAACTCCGTCCCCTCTATAGCCTTCTCCAGTAGCGAGTTCTTCATCACCACCAGCGACGTGCTCTCGGGAAGCTTCCTTCGAAGGTCCGACATCTGCTTGACCTGAAGAAGGCAAGCAGAAAAGAGAGGGGAGGGAAGGGGCGTGGGGGAAAGGGGGAGAGGGAAGGGGGGAGAGGGAGGAGGGGTGAGGGAAGGGGCGTGAGGGAAGGGGGGAGAGGGAAGGTGGGTGAGGGAGGAGGGGGGGAAGGGGGGGGAGGGGGATGAGGGGGAGATGGAGGAAGAAGAGGAGCAGGAGGAGGAGGAGGAGGAGGAGGAGGAGGAGGAGGAGGAGGAGGAGGAGGAGGAGGAGGAGGAGGAGGAGGAGGAGGAGGAGGAGGAGAAGAAGAAGAAGAGGTGTGATCCTGCATGCAAATGGGAAAAAAAACTGCCAACCTGGAAATAAGTGACGAAGCAGGATGGGGAGGCAGGAAGAGGAGGCAGAATGAGGTGCTTGCCCTGGAGCTCGGTTCACAGGTGCCTCACAGAATGAACCGAGGCAACTAGCTCTCGTAAGTGGCTGTCAGGTAGGAAGAGGGGGATATGCTCGTATGTGACCCGCGAACGCTATTTCAACGGCGCCTTAACAATCGTTTCACCATTCGCGGTTTAACGTCGCCACAGAAAGCACAGCGGCAGGACGTCGTACGCGGCTCCGCGATCGCTATCCGCATGCTTCCCAGTTCCCCCTCGGCCCCCCAACCCCTTTAGACTCCCCGTGGACTACCCCAGGACTCCCCTGGACCCCACCTGGGCTCCCCCTAAACTCCTCCTAGGCTCCCCCTGGGCTCCCCCTGGGCTCCCCCTGGGCTCCCCCTCGGTTCGCCACAAAGAGCGCAGAGACAGGACGCTCATACGTGGCCCCGCGGTCTCTATCTGCACGCCTCGCAGTTCCCCCTCGGCGCTCCTGGACTCCCCCTTAACTCCCTCCGGACTCCCCCGAGGCTCCCCCGGGGCTTCCCCAGGGCTCCTCCGGGCCTCCCACTCTAGGCTGTCCCCAGCGCGGAGACAGGAGGCTCGTACGTGGACCCCCGATAGCTCTCCGCACGCTTTGCGACAGCCAGCAAACCCCCAAGGTCCCCTCCGGCTGCCTTCCGGCTCCTCTCTCGGCTCCTTACCGCTCGGCTCCCCCCCTTTCGGCTCCCCCCCCGACCCCTTCCCCCCCCCTTCCGCTCCCCCTCCGCTCCCTCTGCTCCCCCTCTCCTCCCCCTCGACTCCCCCTTTCACTTACGTTTTCGACTCTGCCAGTCCTCCATCAAATGAGTCCTCTACCACTTTCCTGCCAACTTTGAGAATCTGAGAATTCTCAGAGCGACGCAAAAATCACCAGACGGGTTCACCTGCTACCATTGTTCTAGGCGCCAGAACTAGACCCAAACTAGACACTATCTGCTCCATCAACTCGTGAGTTTTGAGTCGAGTCAGTACTCAGCTCCGATTATCAGGCGCGAAAATTCCCCTCTTATTTGCTGACTCAACTCCATCTGCGCTTCCTGTATCCGTTCCCCCTCGATTCGCCCTTAATCTCCCCACTCCCCCACAACTCAGTTTCAAAATACGCTTCGCTCCCCCTCCGCTCTCCTCCCTCCGCTTCCCCCCACCTCGGCTACCCTCTCCCCCCCACGGCCCCCCTCATCCACCTCGGCTCCCTCCCTTTTGCACGCCGCCTCCCCCTCCGTCGCCGTCGATCTCTGTGCCACCAATCATGCGCAGCTGACGTGGCGCAATCTCGCACCATATCCAGCCGCCCATAGGCAGTTAATCTACTGAGCCCATCCTCAAACTAGCCGTTGACTTGAAATCATCTCCCTCAAAGCCGGCATCGCCAATACGCTCCCTTCTAAACCCTAATCGCTGGAAGCCGCGTCACTATCATTGGTCCGAATTGCATGTCCCTCCCAACATCGACGGTCACGATTCATCGTTCCGCTTTGGTCAGCCGTTGGTTCACAACGACCGCATTGACCGTTCACGGTGCATTCTATTTCTTGCAAAACAACACACCGCGAGATGTTGCAGCTATCTTATTGCGGCTAACTTTTGGCCTAAAAAAAAAAACACAGTCTAGCGAAAACGTAGCGAAGCGGGTTACCGTGAATCGCTTGTAGTTGATGCTGGCGACAAGGTTGCAGTTCTCGAGCTGCTGGCGGGCCTTCTCGACCGTCTGCTCCTTCTTCTTGCGAGAGATGGCCATCTCGACCTGCAATACGGCAGCCAGCAAGGGACAAAACAAGCGAGCATGTTCAGTACGTATCAGCTGGCTCAGAGGCAAACGGTCACCGGCCTTCTCGACCGTCTGCTCCTCCTTGAGAGAGATGGCCATCTCTACCTGCTCGCATGGGCGACTTTTTCGGGACAGGGGGGCCTACACGCCAAGAGGAGGAATGGAGTGTGAGGCTTGAGAGACCTTAAACGACAGCCGCTTGACCTTCTTTACCCTGGCTGCTCATACCGATTCGCGACGCGGGATATGAATAGCTGAATACCACAACAATAATGGCATTAAAGGGAGACGAATGGGAGAGTGAAAAAAGGGCGCTAGAAGTGTCGACCGAAGGTAAGATAGGTGACGGGATGGGTGGCGTAAGAGCATTGTGGACAGAAAGTCGATGCATATGATGCATCAGACGGCTTTTGAGACGTCTCAAAAGTTGATGCATCAGACGGAAGAACAATGGCAATACACGTTGCCTTCATGAGCCCTCTCTAAACGGCATAACAGGGACAATACTGTGACAATGCACGGCATAACAGGGTCAATGCACGTTGACTTTAGAGACGACTCAAACACAATTATAAGATCACACGTGACAAAGACAATGCACATTGTTCTCATGAAGGCTATGCCATCCAGATGTCAGGGAAGATTCGCTCGCCAAAGAAACAAGTTAGGAAACCCTCTCCTCTCCGCGTTAAATGGCAGACGCAGCGAGTGACGACGCCGGCACGTTGACGTCACGTATGCAACTACAACGAGCCTAGAAGCGCAAGCTGGATATTCCTGACCTTGGGCATTCTAGCGCAGACGACTTTTGAGGCGCCTCAAAAGTAACAACCTTAGCGAGCCTAACAGCACATGCTAGGGATTCCTGACCTTGGGCATTCTAGCGCAGACGGCGCCATCTCTCCTGGCGGGAAGGCTCAAGGACGTCCGGCTTCCCCAGAACTCGCTGTTAGCCAGAACAATCCAGAGAAACAGAGCACAACAGCCGAGAGAAACGCGGAGTCAATCACGCGCTGTGCGATACCATAGAAGGCTATCAAACCTACACAGACAAAGGGGTGTCTGAACTCTAGGGCTGTTGAATGTGGCGATATGAAAAACCAACTACGGGAAACAAAATCTGGAGCTATAACTGAAAGGCAACTGAGACATGCCTGGAGGTCTTATCCAGCGACGCGCTCGGGGCCGAGGTGAGAGGAGTCAGAGCGAGAGATTGAAGGGCAGCCATGGCGAAACCTAATTCGGGTACGTCTGGAAGCGACTAAGTCGGACTGCCCTGAATACGGTCGCTCTGCTGTCAGCCCCTAGAGAACAGAGGAAGTGGTAAGTAGGCTACTTCACCAACAACTAAGAAAGCGGAGGGATATCGTAAGGGGGTGAGAAGGGTGATGGAAAAGATGTGGTAACTGCGACAGTATCGAGGGGTAAATGTGCGCTTGACGGAAAGAAGGAATTTGTGATGTGACGAAAAGGGAGGGGATTTGTGCCATTCCCATAGAAGGCAGAGGTGTTGGGATGTGTGCTGGCGCAGCCAGAAGCAGCCACGGCGGATTGCGTCGGTGTGGCGGATAGGGTTGATCTTAGGGCGACGTCAGGTTGTACAATTCTCACACATACACAAATCTTGCGTCGTGGCTCAGGACGGTTCCACACGGTGGAAAGCAGTTTTCAAGCTTCACCGTTTTGCACCGCGACGAAACGAAGTTGATCGCAGAGGGCGTGAAAAAAGTAGTACAACCTGACGTCGCCCTTAGTTACATTTCGGGCTTCGCGTCTCCCCTTACATTTATTTTCATAGATAGACAAATACCAGAGAAATAACCATGGTACTGTACTTTTTCTACCGATTCCGCTGTAATGGGTATGGTGTACCCGAGGCTTTGCTGTGCTGTACCACGCACTAGAGAAGGAATCTGGAAGCCAGGCGGAAAGGGAATGGGTGAACGACTGAGGGCGCCTGAGGAAAATCAGAGAAAATCCAAATTCGACATTGCGACATTCCCTCAGTGCCCCCTTCGCGAATCGCGACATTCCCTGCGATCCAACTTGCCCGACATTCCCAGCCTGTTCTACAAATTTCGCCACCCACGGTCCAGCCTGTTGGGTTTGGTTTGGTTGGAGGAACAAGGAAGGAGCACCAGTCGGTTCGGTTCGGCCGGATCGCACACAAGCAGCAGGGAGGGGGCGAAATGGAGGGCCGTGTGTTGCGCACACAATTTACAACCTTGTAAAATTGCTCTCGTCTGTGCACAAAGCCCAATTGCTCTACTTGTAGTACCACACCCAGCAGAACCACTTCAACCCAGCCTGTGTGTCTCACAATTTCCAGATTTTCGACCAGCTTGCGAGCTTGTGGCGGCGTCCCGCGAACAGCGTCCTTGTCGCTGCCAGCACCCGAGCGATTCCCCCATTTCCTTCCGTTCCTCTCTAGGCCTACACCCCTCCCATTCTTCTCAGCGACGCGCCGTCGCAATGCCGTCGTCGCGCGTCAGCAATTCAGCGGCAAACCCCACTACCCGCGCCACTCGTGCGAGTGCGGCCTTCAAGGCGGCGTTACGGCCGCGATCGTCGCGAAGGTCCGCTTCCTCCTCGTCGTCGTCGCATGGCCGCTACTATCATAATGATGTGCCGCTTCTCCTGCCGCTGCTGCTGGCGGCGCTGCTCGTGCCGCGAGCGGCGGACGCGGCGTGCTCGCGCGTGCGGCAGGTGGTGGTGGTCGGCGCTGGCATGTCGGGCGTTTCGGCTGCTTACCGCATCGTCACCGCCACCGGTGGCGAATGCTTCAATGTACGTTCGGCCGTGCAAGATAGAATGCGGATGCTTGGGGCGCCGTGCACGACAGACGCTTTCGCTTGACGGATCTATTGGCAAGTTTAATGACGTCTAAAATTACAAGCGCATTCTATGCGCGTCTTTTTCTGCGTTTCATCCTTTCGTAAAGCAGGTTCTGACCATCTGTTTCCCGTCCTTCGCCCCTGATCCCCCTCCCTGCACCCCCCACCTCCCCTCAGATATCCGTGGTGAAAGCGTCCGGCAGGTCTTCTCATCTCTCTTACTCGCCCCTTCCCCCCCTTCCCCCTCGTTCCCCCTTTTTTTCCTCCGCCCCCCTCCCCTCCCCTCAGGTGACGGCGGTGGAGGCGCGCGGCGACAGGGTGGGCTGGCTGTTGCCTTTGGATCTTAGCCTCTGATCTCTATCTCCCCCTTAACCCCCCTTCTCCCCCTTTCCAGGTGACGGTGGTGAAGGCGCGCGGCAGGTGGGCTATTGGAGCCTTAGCAGCCTCTCATCTCAACTCTTCCTATTCTCCTCTTCTCCCAGCACCCCCTCATCTCCAGGTGACGGTGCTGGAGGCGCGCGGCAGGGAGGGCTGGGCTCTTGCCTTTAGTTGGACCCTAACGGCCTCTTGTCTCTCCCCCACCCCCCTTCCCCCGCTCTCCCCCCCCCCGCCCCCCAGGTGACGGTGGTGGAGGCGCGCGGAAGGGTGGGCGGGCGCATGTGGAGCCGAACGGAGGCCGCCCCTGCCGGCTCGCCCACCACGTTCCTGCGAGGCGAGATGGGCGCGCAGTGGATCGAGGGCGCCACAGGTAACCCGGTTACCACCACCACACTCCAGTCTCCCCCACACTCCAAACTTCCTCTTCAAACCTTCCCACACTCTCCAAACTCCTACGCACACTCTGATTCCCTCAAACTTCTGCGTTCCTCACCAATGCCTGCCACTTCCTTTCTCCTCCTGCTGCGCTCTTCCTTCCCTTCTCCACACCACTTTCTCCTGCCTTTCTTCTTCCTCTCCCCTTTCCCTTCCCCTTCCACTTCCACTTCCCCGTCCCCTTCCCCTTCCACTTCCACTTCCCCGTCCCCTTCCCCTTCCCCTTCCCCTTCCCCTTCCACTCCACTTCTCCTTCCCCTTCCCCTCCACTTCTCCTTCCCCTTCCCTCTCCCCTTCCGCCCTCCCTTTCCCCTTCCCCTTCCGGCCCCCCCTTCCCCTTCCCCTTCCGCCTCTCGTTCCCCCTCTGCCTTCTTTTCCTCTTCCCTGTGTCGCTCCTTTGCCGGTCTGCTCCCCCTGCCTCAGGTAACCCGGTTACCACTCTGGCTCGGAAATTCAAGCTCAACATTGCGCAGCAGAACGGGCGGGAAATCCAATTCACAGCCAAGGGGAGGAGGTACGGGGACGCCGAGTGGGCGGCAGCGGAGGCGGAGTATCAGACGTTGGTACGGCAAGCATTGGCTTGGGCGGGCAAGCAGAACAAGGATGTGAGCCTGCAGCAGGCGTTCACCAGCGGGCCGTGGAAGCGAAAGATGTTCTACAAGCCCTATGCTCAGGTAGGGAGAAGGGGGAGTGGAAGACGGGGATGTGGGAGGGAAGGAGGGAATGGGGAAGGGCGGGGGGGAGGGGAGGGGTAAGGGGAGAGGGAAGGATTGGGAGCGGGAAAGGGAGTGGCCCGAAGAATGGTGTGTGCTTGTGGCAAGGCTTGACAGAAAAGGGGAGGGGAGGACTGGGGGAGAGATTGGGGTGGGGCAGGGTATGGGTGAGTGCAGGAAGGGCGGGCGAAGGGGGGGGGGGGTGGAAGGTTGTTAAAGCCGGTTGTTTTTACATTCCTGTGGTTTTTCCCTCTCCCTCTCCCTCTCCTCGCCTGGCAGTGGACTGCGAGTTCAACTTCGGCACGGCCCTCTCACACCCTCCTCATCCCACCCCCCCTCGTGATTACCCTTTTCTCACCCCTTGTCTCATATCTCCTGTTGTGTTTTCCTGTCCCCCGCCAGTCTCGCCTAGCAGTGGACTACGAGTTCAACTTCGGCACGGCCATCTCGCACGTCCCTCATACCCCCATCTGGGCATGTGGTTATCCTTTTCCCACTCAAATCCCTTCCGTTTCCCTGTCCCTCTCTGCACCGTAGTCCCGCCTGGCAGTGGACTACGAGTTCAACTTCGGCACGGCCATCTCGCACGTCCCTCATACCCCCATCTGGGCATGTGGTTATCCTTTTCCCACTCAAATCCCTTCCGTTTCCCTGTCCCTCTCTGCACCGCAGTCCCGCCTGGCAGTGGACTACGAGTTCAACTTCGGCACGGCCATCTCGCACGTCCCTCATACCCCCATCTGGGCATGTGGTTATCCTTTTCCCACTCAAATCCCTTCCGTTTCCCTGTCCCTCTCTGCACCGCAGTCCCGCCTGGCAGTGGACTACGAGTTCAACTTCGGCACGGCCATCTCGCACGTCCCTCATACCCCCATCTGGGCATGTGGTTATCCTTTTCCCACTCAAATCCCTTCCGTTTCCCTGTCCCTCTCTGCACCGCAGTCCCGCCTGGCAGTGGACTACGAGTTCAACTTCGGCACGGCCATCTCGCACGTCCCTCATACCCCCATCTGGGCATGTGGTTATCCTTTTCCCACTCAAATCCCTTCCGTTTCCCTGTCCCTCTCTGCACCGCAGTCCCGCCTGGCAGTGGACTACGAGTTCAACTTCGGCACGGCCATCTCGCACGTCCCTCATACCCCCATCTGGGCATGTGGTTATCCTTTTCCCACTCAAATCCCTTCCGTTTCCCTGTCCCTCTCTGCACCGCAGTCCCGCCTGGCAGTGGACTACGAGTTCAACTTCGGCACGGCCATCTCGCACGTCCCTCATACCCCCATCTGGGCATGTGGTTATCCTTTTCCCACTCAAATCCCTTCCGTTTCCCTGTCCCTCTCTGCACCGCAGTCCCGCCTGGCAGTGGACTACGAGTTCAACTTCGGCACGGCCATCTCGCACGTCCCTCATACCCCCATCTGGGCATGTGGTTATCCTTTTCCCACTCAAATCCCTTCCGTTTCCCTGTCCCTCTCTGCACCGCAGTCCCGCCTGGCAGTGGACTACGAGTTCAACTTCGGCACGGCCATCTCGCACGTCCCTCATACCCCCATCTGGGCATGTGGTTATCCTTTTCCCACTCAAATCCCTTCCGTTTCCCTGTCCCTCTCTGCACCGCAGTCCCGCCTGGCAGTGGACTACGAGTTCAACTTCGGCACGGCCATCTCGCACGTCCCTCATACCCCCATCTGGGCATGTGGTTATCCTTTTCCCACTCAAATCCCTTCCGTTTCCCTGTCCCTCTCTGCACCGCAGTCCCGCCTGGCAGTGGACTACGAGTTCAACTTCGGCACGGCCATCTCGCACGTCCCTCATACCCCCATCTGGGCATGTGGTTATCCTTTTCCCACTCAAATCCCTTCCGTTTCCCTGTCCCTCTCTGCACCGCAGTCCCGCCTGGCAGTGGACTACGAGTTCAACTTCGGCACGGCCATCTCGCACGTCCCTCATACCCCCATCTGGGCATGTGGTTATCCTTTTCCCACTCAAATCCCTTCCGTTTCCCTGTCCCTCTCTGCACCGCAGTCCCGCCTGGCAGTGGACTACGAGTTCAACTTCGGCACGGCCATCTCGCACGTCCCTCATACCCCCATCTGGGCATGTGGTTATCCTTTTCCCACTCAAATCCCTTCCGTTTCCCTGTCCCTCTCTGCACCGCAGTCCCGCCTGGCAGTGGACTACGAGTTCAACTTCGGCACGGCCATCTCGCACGTCCCTCATACCCCCATCTGGGCATGTGGTTATCCTTTTCCCACTCAAATCCCTTCCGTTTCCCTGTCCCTCTCTGCACCGCAGTCTCGCCTGGCAGTGGACTATGAGTTCAACTTCGGCACGGCCCTCTCGCACCTGTCAGCATGGTACTACGAGTCCGATGCATTCGACCCGCCCACCATGGTGGTTACCAACGGCTACGACAACATCCCCAAGATGCTCATGCAGGTGGGGATAGGAAGAAGGGGGAGGGGAGGAAGCGGGAGGGGAGGAAGGGGAAGGGGAGGAGGGAGGGGGGAGGGGGGAGGGCGGAAGAGGGAGGGCTTGCTTGGAGCACCGTTTTACCTTAACAAGCTGCTCACCACGGTCGTCTCCAACGGCTATGAAACATCCTCAAGATACTCGTCTCCCATGCCCCACCCACTCGTCTCCCATGCCCCACCCACTCGTCTCCCATGCCTTCATGCCAAACTTGTCTCACACATACCCCATGTGCCTGTCACATTTATGCTTCCTCTCCTTAACTCCTATTCCCGCTCCCACTCTCGATCCCCCTAACTCCACTTCCTCCCCTACCCACCACTCACATCACAGGAAGCACAAGCAAAAGGAGCAAAGCTGCTGCTCAACTTCGAGGTGACGGCCATCTCGCAGTCCTCCACGGGCGTGCAGATCACGGGAAAGAACACCGCCAGTGGCGCCACCGGCACGCTGGACGCCGACGTGGTGATCGTCACAATCCCCCTCGGGGTGCTCAAGGCCAACACCATCGCCTTCTCCCCAGCGCTCCCACCCCGCAAGACCGGCGCCATATCGCGCCTCGGAGTTGGTGCCATTGCTAAAATCTTCTTCTTCTTCAACCAGACCTTCTGGCCGGTCAACGTGGACGAATATTTCATCGAAGATTCACAGCTGCCCGCGAATCGCGGGCGGTGGGTGGATTGGGTCAACCTGAAGCGCGCGTGGGGGCAGACGGCTTTGGAGGGAGTGGCTCTGGGGGAGTATGCGGAGAGAATGGCTAAGATGAGCGATGAGGAGGTGATTAACGACGCCAAGGCGAAGATGGCGCGCATGTTCCCGCAGTACCGCAAGAAGCCGCTTGAGCCGCTGGCCACTTGGATCCAGCGCTGGACCGCCGAACCGTATTCGCGGGGGGCGTACAGCTATGCGCGCGTGGGCGTGAGGGGGAACGAGGATCACTGCACGGACTATGATGTGATGGCGCTGCCCGAGGGGAGGGTGCTGTTTGCGGGGGAGCACACCATCTGGCAGTACCAGGCAACTGTGCATGGCGCCCTGCTCTCTGGCGTTCGAGAGGCCAAGCGCGTCCTTCGGAACTTCTGAGAAGCATGCCGTTTGAATTGACTCGGAAGTCACCGCCAGGGCTCTCGTTATCATTGTAAATTACACTGCTATACTGATTACAAGGGTGAAATTTAGGGCCTGCACTGATGGGTTTGGGTAATTTTTTGGAGGATTATCGTTACACTGATACGTCAGTGTAACGATTTAGGCCACACTGATGCTCTGGGGTAATGTTTCCCTTAGCAAAGATTACCCTGAAGAGCGTACAGGGACATCCCCCCCCCTCCCCCCCCCCCCCCCCCCCCCCCCCCCCCCTGTCCCTCAGAAACTCTACTTGTCGAGACGAAGTTTCCTAGAAATTTCATAACGATACACTCAATTTCGTAATGATGCACTTCGACGCCAGCACGTGAATACCGACAACCGACACCGCGTCACTCCGTCTCTGCTTGCGGCCTACCCGTAATTGTAGAGGCGAAGCAACCTGATTGGTTGAAGCTGCACTCACTGCAAAAAAAACAAGTGTTGCGCGAAACCTCACAATACAGCTCAGCCGACAAGCGAGTCCGCCCTGCTGAGCTCGCTGCCCGCGGGCAAAAAATAAAACCCCAGTCGGGCATGCATCCGGTCAGGGAGGCATCAACCCTAACACAGGGAGGCATGGATTTAGGGTTGATGCCTCCCTCGGATCGCATGCCATCCGATGGGGTTTTAGTTTTTTTTCTGTCCGCCGGTCAGGTCGACCGTCGACCACCGTCGGACCCCGTTGGGTTGAGACATTCCAGTCAAGCCACTGTGCTCGACTTGTGAGTTCACAACCCCCACCCACCACTCTTGCGCAATTTAGGCCTCGAGCTTGGTTGCTGCCAGCACATACTGAGTTGCCTACAGTACAATCAGGGTAAAAAAGATACCTACACTGATGCCTCTGGGTGAAGTTTTCAAAACTTCAAGTTACACTGATCCATCAGTGTTTCCAAAAAGGCGACACTGCTCACAAGGGTTTTGAAAATGTCTACATTGCTAATCGTGAGTAGACAAAATCCAAACATAAGCCCTGGTCAGGTCACCGCGTGATATAGCCTAAGCTCGTCCTTTGGGAACTTACGGTATAGTGCTCTATGGGACTTTTAGCCATGCCTGATCCCTCACCGGCATCTGAAGTTTCGTGTTTTCCATTATTCAGTGTGAAGAGGTGGTTCACAGTGGGAGGATATTGGTAGGTTTGTTGTGCAGTTGTCAAACTATATGTGTGCTTGTTAGGCTATATTAAGGCTCACATTTGTATCTCTCCTCTACCTAGTTCGTCCAGTAGAGATTGGGACGCCCAATCTACTGTCTCCGCCTAGCACCCTGTAGGTAGCATTACATTTTTCGTTCCACACTTGCTGACCTTCGCTACCCTCCTTCAGTTAATCGGGCACTCTTTCTTCGTTTCGGGCCCACTCTCTCCTTCATCCTCGTCTACAGCGACTGCTACTGCAGACATTGTTGCTCTGTGTCAAACTATATACAAGCATATAATAGTGTTAGTTCTGTTAGGCTATAGTGAGGTGCTTGATATAGGGTATAGGTTTTCTCTTGACAGTTGTACTTGTACGTGTCAACGGGAGTGTTGTGTGGCCCCGTCCTCGCTTGGGCGGAGCCGACCTCGTGGTCGGATGTACGGGGGATGCACCTGTCAGAATAACGAACAGGATTGAATGAACTAGCAGCAGGATGGGTACAAATAGGAAACCCAAATTTGTGTTGTACCGCATATAGGCTACCCCACTACAGCCTACACAACAAGTAGCACATATAGTTTGACACACCCCCATAGGCAAAGTGGGGGAGAACAAGAGGTCACAAGACCAGTCAAAAAAGGCTAACCAAGCTCAGGGTGGATCACGAAGTCACCACGCATTCTGAGCATAAGCAAATGGCCACAAGGCCAGTTCACATGCAGAGTTATATATAAAGGAGAACAAACAATACAGTGATCACAACCTAACAGGTGTAAGCATGCATGTATAAGTATATAGATCACAGTACAAGCAAAGTCAAGAAGTGAGCAAGTGAGGCCAGGTAGGCACAAGACCTTGAACAGTACAGAAACGCTGATGATCACAAGGCTGAAGTGCCTTGGTGAAGATATCAGCAGTGTTGGCCCGAGAGGTTACGTAAGCAAGACGAAGCTGACCACGCTGCTGCAACTCTCGAGCAAGGAATTAACGCAGAGCAATGTGCTTCGTCCTGTGCTCCAGTCTGTGCTCCTGACACAAGGCAATCATGGCCTTGTTGTCGACGTACAGAACTGGAGGAGAACGAGGCGCCTCTCCCAGGTCAGTCAGCAGGTAGGTGAGCCAGCGTAACTCCTGTGCAGCCATGGCCCATGCGTAGATCTCAGCCTCACAGCTGGAGCTGAGAACAGAAGACGAGCGGGTAGACCGCCACGAAACAGAGCCGGAACCAAGGCTGAAGGTGTAACCCTGTCACGACCGCTGAGTAGCCAAGTCGTCAACCCAAGAAGCGTCTGCGTGACCAGTGAAGACAACTCGACTCCGTCCTCCAAGCACGAGCCCCATGCCCGACGTACTGCACAAGTAGCCTTTCAGTGCTCTGGTCGGTGTCTCCCGGGCGCAACGTAGCGTGCCAGGATGCTAAGAGGGTAAGCAAGGTCAGGTCGAGTGCAGGCCATCAGGTACATGAGGCAGCCCACAAGCTCTGGATACGGGCCACTCGGCTCTACGGACTCATCCGAAGGCAGAGCTGACAGCGAGTGACCAGTAGGCAGAGGAGTGGCCTGTGGCGAGGAGTACTAGAAGTCGAAGCGTTGAAGGTCTATGCACGTGTGTCTCTTCTGCAGCTCCGACTTCACTAGAGTCAGTGCCTCAGTATCAGCAGTGGCAAAAACCTAGTCGTCGACGTACACGAGGATGTAGAACGGCGGCAGCGAAGTGTCGGTGCGTAGAAACAGCGACGGGTCAGCAGTAGAGGGAGCAAAGCCAAGAGCCGCAAGGGTCGTCCTCAGTGTGTCGTGCCACTCGCGAGGCGCCTGGCGGAGACCGTAGACTGGCCGGCGGAGGCTCCACTGGGTACCAGGAGGAAACGACCCAGTGAAGCCAGGTGGGCGGCGCAGCCAGATCTCCTCGTGTAGGCTGCCCTGTAGGAAAGCAGTGCTGAAGTCAAGAGAGTGAAGCTCGTAGTCACGCTGAGCGGCGACGTGCAGCAGAACCCGAAGAGTGGTCATCTTCGGGGTAGGGGAGAAGGTCTGGAAGAAGTCAACTCCCTGTCGCTGACTGAAGTCTCGTGCAACGTAACGCGCCTTGCAGAGAGACGGAGAACCCGGCGGCCGCTTCACCCTGAAAATCCACATGCCACTGACGATGTTCGCCCCAGGTGGGGGAACCTCGTCGACGTAAGTGCCTGTGGACTCCCAGGATGCCATCTCTGCGTCCATGGCTGACTGCCACTGAGAGGAGTAGGGACCCTCTATCGCCTCTGCGTAAGAGCGCGGGGTCGGGATGTCTGGAGCATCCGGGTCTCCCTCAGGTGCAATCAGCGTGGACACGAGATGAGGTACAGCAGCTGCAAAGCACTCAAAGTCTTCCTGCCTGTCCTCAAGGACGTCCGTGCGAAGAGCACACTCAACCCCGATGGACGGAGGACAGTCAGACACAGACTCAGCAACAAGACTAGTGGCTTAGTCGAGACGACACGCAACAGCAAAGTCAACATGCTCAGCAAGTAGGGCAGACGCAGTAGTGGACGCAAGCGAATGGTCAGTGACAGCAGTGGCTAGAAGACGTGTGATAGTAGGGCTGGCAGCACGAACCAAGTCAGACTCAGGGTCCGGACCGTCAGCAAGAGAGGACGCAGGAGGGGACGGCAGAAGGACACGCTGTGGAACAGAGGAAGGACGAAGTGCCATAGTGTGAGTGCCGGGGACAGGAGGAGGACGCGGACGAGGAACACGGCGACTAGTGCGAACAGCGCGAACAGGCAAGGCAGGACGAGACGCAGGCTCACGACGCTCTGTAAGAGAGTTTGTCTACTCAGTGTAAGGAGAAGGAGCAGGCATTGGGGAGTCTGGCTGTAACTGTGGCTGCAACTGGTCAGGCGGTGGACACAGTAAGAAGGGGTAAGGCCAGTAGAAGACGGGAGACTAAGAACCTGGCGAAGTACCAAGCCAGGTGGCGGCAGAGACGATGGCGGCGGTGGAACGAAAAACGGTCACCGCTGCATAGTGCCTCCAGCACCAGTACCGCCAGCTCCAGCACCCCCATCGCCAGCACCTCCAGCTCCAGGGCCTCTAGCACCATCGCCTCCAGCTCTAGGGTCTCCAGCTCCAGCGCCTCCAGCTCCAGCGCCTTCATCTCCAGCACCTCCAGCTCCAGTGCCCCCAACTCCCGTGCCTCCAGCTCCAGCGCCTCTAGCTCCAGTGCCTCCAGCTCTAGCACCTCTAGCACCTCCAGCACCACTAGCTTCGGCAGCTCTATACCTCCAGTACGAGCACCTCTAGGACCAGTAGCTCCAACACCTCCGGTACCTCCAGCTCCACACGTCCATGTGGAGAGTTTGCAGGGGAGCAGTCGTCGGGGGAAACGAGGAGTGAGGAGTGGCGCGTTGCTGCCCCTCGATGCAAGGAAGGCAGGGCGGGGCAGGCAAGGGCGGGAGGGGAGGAAGAGACCTGGGAAGACCAGAGACAAGGAGGTGGGCGTGCATGCCACGGAGGCGTGGCAGGGAGGGGTGACCAAAGCGGTGGTGCCAGAGGAGAGTCTGATGCGAGAGGAGACGACACGAACAGGGGGCGACTACCTGACCTGACGCGGACGCCTGAGTAGAAGCAGCCACCTGATTAGGCTCAGTAGTCAGTGTGTACAGGCTCGACCCAGGCCGACGGGTGAACGTGGCCAGGTGACGGCCCGTCCATGCACACGTGCAGATCGACACACGCTGACCCCCAGGAGTGGTGGTAGTGACCATCTCATCCTGGAGGGCAGCGGTACTCACCAATTTCGTAGAGAACGAGGGGAGGTGAAGACCTGACAGTGAGC